TATATATATATAGTACATCGAAACAACTGATTTCATCTGATGTCATCGTGACTGTTAAAACATCATTACAGAGAATACACTGTGTGACGTGTGTATTTGACTCATGTAGTTTAAGGAACTATAAAAAAAAAACAACGCTCTGCGTTACGATTGAATTAAATGATTTAAATTTGATCAAACCAAACCTTAAAGCACAGTTCACAAGCAATCGTACCTTCAAGTGTGCGGTCTTGTCCAAATGTTCTTCTTGGTTTTACTATGTCCAAGTTTGTCTTGTTTTATCTAAAATAAAAAGGAAAAAGAAAAAACAACAACAAACAGCTTCACCTCACACTCCAGCAGAGCTGCCTTGTTGGTCAGACAGTCAGCAGGATCTGTCAGGTTTGGCGTCCAATTGCGTCCTGCCTCTGCAGTGGTCTGCTGTCCCATCTGTGCCGGTCTCTAACTGCTCACTGTGTGGGGCTATATTTGTCCCCTGGCTCACGTTACACAGCCAGACTACTTACAAGAGAAGAGAGAACTGAGATAATCTGGTGGAACACAAGGTGCTGCTGACATTCTTGGTGCTTGTTAATTAAAAAACAGTGAGCAAAAGTTGCTGTCAGGTRAGGAACTTTTAATTTGAGTCTGTAACTAGGATTATTGTAACATTTCATGATGACCTATACAGTCAACAACAGATTTTTGTCACTGGTGAGTCCAGATTAGTTGACCACATGGCCTTAAACCACCCATTAAACTATTTTTCACAGAAAAGTGTTCTGCATAAACTTGTGTTGAGTACAATGTCAAGGTAAATTCTGCATGAACAAAAAGGCCTGATGCACAATATTTTTATGTGACTAGCAAAAACTGACTATCTATACTGTTTGGAAAAATATTGCATCAATCATTGATCAGATTTAAATGAAGCTTTAAGGAAGCAATCATTGGATTGTCATCTACTGATTAACTTTTGGAGTCACGCCAAAGTAAAATAACCATTGCAGCAAACCAGTCCTAACAAACTTAAAGGGCCAATATTATGTGTTTCTCAGGCACATAGTTAAATACTATACCATAATAAAGTATCTATGTCACCTTTAGCTGTTATTAAAATGCTGTTTTTATGTTTAAATAGAAAATAAACTTATCTTCTCATCATTTCCTCTTCTAAACGCCTCGAAATTGGCCTCTGTCTCTTTAAGAACCACCTTCTGCTTCTGTCTCACCCATTTCGGTG